AGCGGCCGCTACCGCTACACCCACTAGATTGTAGCGGGCGCTACCGCTACCGCTACAGTAAAATGTAGCGCCGCTACATTAGCCGCTACAATGGCCAAAATTATTGGATATCTCTAAATATTTATTGTTCTGCTATTGGGATTTACTCATAAACATTTAATGATAATAAAATATTTTCAAAACATATCAATGCAACTTTATTGCAATTAACCTAACCGAACTAGTATGGGTTAGATGCAGTAAATAAAAGTTACAGTTATTTTTATGTTTTGCCTTCCCTACATGGATGTCTACTTTAATCTACCAATCTCAAAAATTCCCCACATATATATAAAATCAGTCTCCAATTTGTATATACAGTGGGGGGAAATAAATATTCGTACACTTGAAAAATCGTATTTTAATGTATGTAAGTACACAAACTTAACAGGAAAAGTGATTCAGCATCTGCAAATCATTGGTCGAGACGTATAGAAATAGACTGGTGTCTGTTGAGCTGAATAAAGGGTATTCAACCAAGTATTAAATTAAAATAATGTGGCTTTATTGTTTTGTACGAATACTTTTTTCACCCCGAAAAGTGAACATGTTGCATTGTTTTTTGTTGCATTGAGATTTAATTTCTTTTGATAGTATTTTTGAATACTATGCGTCTCTATACATAATTTAAATCACTTTTCCTGTTAAGTTTGTGTACTTACATACATTAAAATACGATTTTTCAAGTGTACGAATATTTATTTCCCCCCACTGTATATGTGGATTATTTTTGAGATTGGTAGATTAAAGTAGACATCCGTGTAAGAAGGTGAAACATAAGAATAACTGTGTAAAAATGACTGCAAGCAAACTGAAACATGAAAAAAATACCTGTAAGAGGTAACTGGTAACAACTTAACAAGTAACAACAACATGTTGACACTAGTAACGGGCTGAGGTTGACAACATTACACCGAAATCTTTCGTACAGTTTTTTTTCTGTAATTTATATTATGTATGTATCATGCTGGCTTTTAAATAATATTTAATAGTATTAAATAAAATCTAAAGGCTTTATCTATAAATGTAGCGGTAACGCTGTAGCGGCAAAACCTCGTATCGCTGCTTAAATATGTAGCGGCCGCTAGTAGCGGACGCTACATGTAGCGCGCTACTGCCCACCTGTCTCTACCACAAGCCTCATCTCTACCACAATCCTCATCTCTACCACAAGCCTCATCTCTACCAAAAGCCTCTCCTCTTTGAGAAGACATGGTTGCAACGAGAGAGTAATGATTGAAAAGTCTAGTGTGGAAAAAGATCTCGGAGTTTATGTTGACAAGGAGCTGAAATTTTCTAAGCATGTTGAAACGCAAGCTAACACATCCAACAAACTTCTTGGACTAATCAGACGCTCATACGAGTTTCTAGATGCAGAAGCGATGAAACAGTTGTTTGTTGCAGTCGTGCGCCCGAATCAAGAGTTTGGAAACGTTGTGTGGTCACCGAGATTCGAAAAGGACAGAAATTTAATAGAGAATGTTCAAAGACATGCAACAAGGATAATTCCAGGCTTGAAGGGCAAGTCCTATGAAGAAAGATTGAAGATTATGAAGCTTCCAAGCCTCAGTTATCGACGTCTGCGTGGGGACCTCATTGAAGTATACAAGTATACTCATATTCTATACAAGGTCCCTGAAGGGTTACTAGAATTTGAAACAAGAACCAACACCAGGGGCCACGGATATAAGCTAAAAAATTGCGCTGCAACTTCTCCACGCGACAAAATTTCTTCTCGCTTCGAATCACCGACATGTGGAACAGCCTCCCCGATGACATCGTTGGCGCTCCAAGTATGAACGCGNCTAGATGTGTATAAGAGACAGAGTTTAGATCTATGAACAAGACACGAAATGGAAAAGAATCGGCGACAGGCCACATCAGGCCTACACTTCAGAGCCGACATCACTATGTTATGTTATGTTTCTCTACCACAAGCCTCATCTCTACCACCAGCCTCATGTAACGCCACTAGATGGCACTAGGGGCGGTCACGTTAGTAAACACTGAGGTGTTGGTAATCTGCCAGAGGCCGGCCGTCAGAGCGGCAGAGCCATTCTGGTCAGTTACCTAGTAGAAGTGACAAGGTGCGGTGTGTTTTGATTCGTGATGCAGAAGCCGCGTGACGGTTGCCTTCTCATTGAGCTTCTGTTTACCTTATAAGCTATCGGTGGCTGTGAGTGAAAGATAAATTTGGTTTATCTGTACTCGGATAACACTTCTCCTATCTTATGAACGGTGAACCGAGCTAGATACACCTCAACTTCCTAGAGAAATGAGTTTCTTTACATCTAACAACGACTTCACTATTTTTCAACACGTTAAGCATAAGCAGATATATTTTTTATCTTGGTATATTCTTAGTGTTAGCCGGATTTTTCTGCATACTGTGCGTCTTATATATGTTGTTGACGGTAGGCTATATTCTTATAACTATGTTGAGTGACATAGGTAATCAATTTATTTCTTTAACTCGCCCAAAAATTGATGAGCATTCAGATATCAGTTAAATTCTCTCGCGGTCATCATTACCACAGTAAGCCTGTAAGGTTCAGTTTCGTGGCTGGTCACATGGTGCAACTCGTGTACTTGCCTTCATGCTAATCGTCCCTGAACGCTGATGTAGTAATTAAGGCACCTCTGACTAACCCGTGTGAATGCATATTAGTGCATAATTAATGCATATAGTCAGCCAATGAAGAATTTAGGCTAACGATTAGGGTTAGCTGCGAACCTTTAATTTCGAGCATGCAGCAACTTCTAGCCTATATGTTGCCCTGTAATATATAAAATTCGTCCTGTAAGTACGAGTTTATTGCAGAGCAAATATGGTGCTTAGTATTCATCTCAGCCTTTCAGTTACTTTTTAGGTACTTCCCTCCCTTAGAAGCAGCAGGACACGTTCATTCATGGCGAAATACTTTTCTTAGTGACGCACGACCATCCTGTAAACTGCCATAGTGCCCGATGGCACGTGGCAGTTACTAAATTGATGGGGCAGTCTGGCTGTTAAATCTTGAATTGCTATGCAGGATTTACCCAACCCTCAGTTCGCAGCTCCAGTGTTCGCGAGTTAAAGCTCTTCTGCTTGATCTGACTGCGAAATATCTCAATATAATAATTAGTCGGTCGTCAAGGATACAAAACTGATTTACACTATATATTTCTTTTATTTCACTGAAATATTCAAGCTCTCCAAAGGTTGACCATCGAATTACAGTCGCTTTCAATTTAACATTTTATCATCGTGAAAATCGATTTTGATTCGAAAGAGGAGCTATTGGCAATTACTGAATCAATTAACTAGCTACGAAAGCGCGTTGCACTCAAATTTTTAGAGCTCACAAATAAATATTGGACTACCGAAATATCTTACAAATTGAACTCTAAAATTACAACGAAATGAAATCTCACACTCGCCACACTGCGCTGCCGCAGTTGCCATACCAATATATAGCAGTAACGCAGCACTGCGTATGCAATTATTGCAGCGCGCTCAAATGACCACTGCTTCCGTTCGCCAAACTAAAAGTCGTAACGAGAGGTGTCCTTTACCCTTAAGGTATGGTGTCCTTCAGCTATATAATTACCGTAGGCGTAGGCATCTTTTGCCAGTCTTTTTGATGTAATGCCTGGCCACTTTTCACTTGAGGGCTTATTTATATTCTACCTTAACAGCAGACAAAAACGTGCTCAAAATCCTCTAATTCACAATAACTATTCCTACCTGATTAACCTCGAATCAATCCGGTTGTGCAAGAAACAAAGATCAACTGACAAATAGCACATTTGCGTTCGATTTCTCCGCCTGCATGACTGAAGTTTTACTTCGTTTTTAGCAATATCGGCTCCTGCTGGCCGGCGTTATAGGTATCCTGTCGTACCAAGACCGTGATAACACCCATGCAGGCACTCAACTGCCAGCCATGTGTGCTGCAGGGAACCCACCCGACAACGCCACTCCGGAGTGATGAAGTTGTTGATATGAGACGTGGCTTGTCGCAGACACTCTATTAGATTGAATACATGACGAGATTTTAACTTGCTAAGTTCTTTGTGATTTAAAATTTCAATGCATATCTTTTACTTGCAATTAATCAGTCAAACAACTGTACGCTGGCCTAGAGATGACAAATAAAATGTCCTTGTAAGTTAGCACGTGCCATTGTTTGATCTCTCGTAAGCGACCTGTAATTTGAGATAAACAATTGACTGGTTCGTTAATGCACTCTATTAATATAAACAGGCATAATTATGGCTTGTGTGGGTTGGTAAACAATCTTATGATAATACTTTTGCAGTAGTGCGACCTGTGTCATTTCTGGATCAAACTACGAACGCCTTCTTGGAAAACTTGCATCAACATTTATGCAGACATGATCTGCCTCTTGAACGAATATCTTTAACTTAATTTTCGTTTTCATTCCACCTCAATGTAATTTCTTTTCCATGGCTGTGGTAACGCAGCAAGAAAAATAGAGGAGGGACAGAGCATGAAAGCCGGAAATCCTTGCGTCAAATTTCATGGAAAATGTTTCCCGTTGCTGCGACAACACCGACCGCTCAGCGTGTGCTTCTGCCGTTCTGGCGGCCTCGCGCAGGCCGTCTTCAATGTCATTCCGTTGTTTGTTTGATAATAATTGCAATGGATATCTGTACTTGTTGGGTCGATTGCTGCGTTATCGTCAATCTGCGAGTGTTCAGTTAAAAAGCCATGTTTGAGCCCCTCATCTTCCTGAATCTTAGTCATTTACAATGGGTTAGGTAAAGGGCATCATTGTCTGACCGAATAGTTTCGCGACCAAATTCATCAAAATTATTGCGATGCTCTCGTGTGAGTCGTGTAAGTATTTGTATTCAGAAGTCCTAGAATACAAAATGGTGTGTTGTATATAATGTTTTACGGTCGCGGAAGCTACGGCCTTGTTATTCATTAATGTAATTTTGTTTGCTACTTCCAGATAACTTGTTCTAATATTAATGGTGTTTGACTTGCCAATTGTCTGATAATTGTCATTTTTTATGTTATTTAAACCAGTTTATTAGGGCTAATGCTAATAATTTTACTCATGTATTTGTTGTAAGCCTTCGAATTTTGAAGCATTAACCGCAAACAGTCGCATTACACTCAGCCATCAAGACCTCTCTTCGACTTGATAAGGAAGAGTGATCAGTGAAGCACCTCCCTGGTCCGCCATCTCTACGGCCACAGCCATGTCCGTAGAGGCTTCTGAACACCGCCACGTGGCTTTCTTGAAGCCCCCCAGCGAGCCTGAAGAAGTGGACGACGATGCGGCGCAGCTTCCGCAGTCGTCGGATGACGAGGCGGGCGACACGCCCACCGCCTTCGCTGGCGGCGCGCGGCGACTGCGGCAGGGCAGCGAGGCCGACCCCCCCGCACTACACATGGAGTTCACGCGCTGGCGGGAGGTGAGGGAGTGGTGGGGGTAGGGGGGTGTTGTGGGGGATGTGATGGGGTTAGCGGGGGGTGTTATGGAGCTAGGAGGGATGTGATGGAGCTAGGGAGGATATGATGGAGCTAGGAGGGATGTGATGGGGCTAGGAGAGATGTGAAGGGGCTAGGAGGGATGTGATGGGGCTAGGTCTGCAGGGAGTTACGGCCACTGCAGGGAGTTACGGCCACTACAGAAAGTTACGGCCACTGCAGGGAGTTACGGCCACTGCAGGTAGTTACGGCCACCGCAGGGAGTTACGGCCACCGCAGGGAGTTACGGCCACCGCAGGGAGTTACGGCCACTGCAGGGAGTTACGGCCACTGCAGGGAGTTACGGCCACTGCAGGGAGTTACGGCCACCGCAGGGAGTTACGGCCACCGCAGGGAGTTACGGCCACCGCAGGGAGTTACGGCCACAGCAGGGAGTTACGGCCACCGCAGGGAGTTACGGCCGCTGCAGGGAGTTACGGCCACTGCAGGGAGTTACGGCCACTGCAGGGAGTTACGGCCACTAGTTACGGCCACAGCAGGGAGTTACGGCCACTGCAGGGAGTTACGGCCACTGCAGGGAGTTACGGCCACTGCAGGGAGTTACGGCCACTGCAGGGAGTTACGGCCACTACAGAAAGTTACGGCCACTGCAGGGAGTTACGGCCACCGCAGGGAGTTACGGCCACCGCAGGGAGTAACGGTTCTTATCACGGCAGCTACAGAGCAGGCTGGGGCCGCTATCACTTCTTATCAGGGTCGCTGATAACGCGCGCTGATAGCAGCAGTCCGCTCTGATGAAGAGCCGCCTAACGAGCTCTTAATTATGAATTAGCTTCAATATTCTGCCATTATTGTTATCATCGTTAAAAAATTCGAAGCATCTCGATTTACACATAAAGTTTGATGATCTTGTTTTGATCGTAATTTCCATCAAAAACTTTTCACATAATTAGGCTAATTCACATAAATAAGCGACGAATCCAGCTAATTTTCACCAAAAAATATAGCTATTTCGTAACTCTTCTGTCGGTCTTTCTGCATTCTGGACACGTCCGAGGTACAAGCGCCCCTACCACCCTGACAGTCGCATGTAGTAACGGTGGCACTTGCTGGTGCTGCAGTAGCAACGGTGGCACTTGCAGGTGCTGCAGTAGCAACGGTGGCACTTGCTGGTGCTGCAGTAGCAACGGTGGCACTTGCTGGTGCTGCAGTAGCAACGGTGGCACTTGCTGGTGCTGCAGTAGCAACGGTGGCACTTGCTGGTGCTGCAGTAGCAACGGTGGCACTTGCTGGTGCTGCAGTAGCAACGGTGGCACTTGCTGGTGCTGCAGTAGCAACGGTGGCACTTGCTGGTGCTGCAGTAGCAGGGGTACTGCAACAGTGCCGCTACTAACACAACAGGGACACATACTATTCCAAATTTTCAAAGATGCAACTGCCGCAGTTTAGTATTCCTCCCTCCGCCTGATGCTGCACGCTCTACGCCGCCGCACTGCCGACTCACTATTCCATATAATTTGCTCAGGAGTTCCCTCGTGCAACACCTTTGGCTAGGATTAAATACTTTTGCAGCGTTCTCCTATGGGCAAGTATTACTGACCGATGTTAACTGAAGAGACCGATCACTTGTCCACCTTAGATTCAATAATCAACTGAACTTACTGTTCATATTACAACCTAAATTAAAACCTGTGATGAACTACTCTTAAAGTATTCATCTTGTTGCGCAATTTCAGCCATAAGAACCAATTGCCTACGTTACTGGCGCGAGATGACGTGTCGTGTCGTGCAGGCGGTGGTGGTGGTGTGTCTGCTGTTCTACGTGTCTGACCTGCTGCTCGATGGCTTCGTCGTCAGAGAGTTCCTCTTGAATGGCGACATCAGGTACGTGAGGGCATCAGGTACGTGAGGGCATCAGGTACGTGAGGGCATCAGGTACGTGAGGGCATCAGGTACGTGAGGGCATCAGGTACGTGAGGGCATCAGGTACGTGAGGGCATCAGGTACGTGAGGGCATCAGGTACGTGAGGGCATCAGGTACGTGAGGGCATCAGGTACGTGAGGGCATCAGGTACGTGAGGGCATCAGGTACGTGAGGGCATCAGGTACGTTATGTCATCATGTACGTCATGTCATCAGGTACGTCATGTCAGGCATGGGAGATCGGATACTCTACGTGTAGTACGTGTAAACTATTTACACTACCTAATATACGTGCGAGCTGAGATGCTGTTGGCAACAGTTGCTAAGGCGACACGAAGCTGCGCGCCGCCAAATGTTACCGCGGCCTAAGTGACGCCATACATAGTGATAAATCACTGTTTTTTAGAATCGGTTCAATTTAATTTCCCCATTTACTCGATATTTAATCCAATATCTTGTATATGCTAATGATGCTATGTTGTTATCCATGATGATACTTTGCTCGTCTACTAATAGGACTTAAAATTGAACTTGAGAAAGAGTTTAAAAAAAACTCTGCTTTGATACTGTGACGCCATAGTTTTCGACTTATATCGCGTACAGGCCAAACTTCATCATTCATGCTAGACTTTGATGGCATTCATTCATTGCTTCATTTGATCAGATTATTTGCCAACATTTCTATGCTGCAATATATTGCAAAGTATGCTTTGTTTGGTAATATAGTGTGCTAAATAATATAATAAATGATAGTGTGATGATAGTGATATAAATAAATAAATGATATTGTGATGATATCGATATAAATAAATAAATGATAGTATGATGATAGTTATATAAATAAATAAATGATGATGTAATGAAGCAATATATTGTATGACTTGTAATGATACAGCGATGATAGAACCCACAATGATACTGGTTCACTGTCCTGCTGTATGATTCAGGCAGGCGTGGTTCACCGGGTTCTGCATGATGGTTCCGAACTTCTACGCCGGGTACAAGTCCCTGCAGTGGTGAGTACTGCGTGTGGTGGTGAGTGCTGCGTGTGGTGGTGAGTACTGCGTGTGGTGGTGAGTACTGCGTGTGGTGGTGTTGCTCAGGTGAGCCTCCTGCTCAGGTGAGCCTCTTGCTCAGGCGAGCCTCCTGCTCAGGTGAGCCTCTTGCTCAGGCGAGCCTCCTGCTCGCCTCTTCTTGTCCAACCTCGTACCTTTATGTACCACCGCGTCCGCAGGCACCACTTCGTACCCTTATCTACCGTCGCGTACCCCGCAGATATTGGTATAGGGTGCGCGTTGACCTCAGATCAAGACCGTCAGGTCGGTCCTCCACGCGGCATAAAAATATTTTGCTTATTATAAAAAAAAAACGAAATAAAAGTTCACGTCGTACTCAGCAGTTTATAAAAGTTCGATTAAAAAGTATTCATTACAATCCTAATCGACTATAACATTCATTGATGCATGTCAACGTCCTAAACAAACAGAAATCATGTACCAAAACCATGTACCGGCACGGTCTCCATCGCCTTCCCACCCTCCTCTCTCTCAACCCTCCATTCCTCAAGACCCCACTCTTATCATCCTCCTCCTCTCCCTCATCCTCCACACGCTTTCCACATATCTCTTCACACTCTCAAACAGCCGCAGTTGCTCCCTCAGACAGACCCGTAATTATTGCCATCCACTCTTTGCTTGTTAATATCCACTTGCCATCCACTCTTCGTTAATCTCACCTCTCTCATTCAGAATCATCTCCATCATAGACTGACGCTCTCTCATACGCCCCACATTCCATCAAGTGCTCCACAGTTTCCTTCTCATCCCCATCACACATAAAACATTTATCTTCCCTCCTCTCATTCCACCTATACACCTAGCGCGCCTGCCCTAACACAAAACAGAAGGTCCCCACCTCTACTACCATCATACATACATTCATATTTTGGCATCACTTTCATCTGATACAGTCTTAGACCTTAGAGTGTCCTTTCCCTCCATTCCTTGCTTCCACACCTTCAGCCCATAGTCTTTCACTCGCTTATTTATTTCTCTTTTCCAGTCTTCTTCATCCCACACTACGTATCCCAACCACACCCCGTACTGTCACCACCCATCCGTCTTTTGGCCCAGCCGGTCCATGGCGCGCCCATGCTTCATGCATGCCACACTTACGCACTACTGCCCAACATCTGCGTGCCCATTTACTCACCTTCATGTTCCACATATACATCTTTTGTGCCCAGCGTTCATCGCACATTTGCTCCAGTCTCACGTTATACCTGAAAACTGCTCTCATTCTTCTTTCCCTAAAGGTACTTCAACCCATGTCTCCTCTCAGGGCCTCTACCGCAGTCCACCTGGGGGCTCCTAGTGCCAATCTCGCCACTTTATTCTGTACCAATTCCAATTTATCTAGCTCATCATCACTATATGTTATCACATCCAATCCATACATATTACTAGGAACTGCTACACTCTCACTCACACTCCACTCAATACTTCATTCTTGCTCGCTCTCACTTTCGCTGCATTTCCAAGTATACCCAACCATTGATTTGCCTTACTTAAATTCGCAGCCTTTCTTTTCTGACATCCCTCCTGGTAATTATACAAACATCTCTAATTAATTATAGTCATTTGTCCTAACAATCTCATTCCCTCCCAACATCCACACTCTGCTCATATCCTCAACCGATCCATTCACAACAAGTACTCGGCTCTTTACCGCACTGAATCGCACAATGAAGTTACTCCCATACTCAGTCTCACAGTCCGGCATACTTCGTAGTTCTTTGCTATTTTCACTCATAATCACAGCATAATCAGCATACAGAAGCATTTTTCACCTTTCGTAGCCTACACGCACACCAACATACATCATCCTCACCCTCATAGCCATCTCTTCTGTGTAAACGTTAACGAGAAACGGAGACAGGATTCATTTTTGTCGTACGCCTCTCCAGCTCCTCATCCAGTCCGTCTCCATATCCCCCAGTCTATGTTTTACTCTAGTATTCACGTACGTACTTCTCACGAGCCTCGCATATTTTTCACTCATTCCAATTTTTCCCAGTGTTGGACTAAGTAGTTCTCCATTAACCCGTTCCTACGCTTCCACGTCCCCATATAGCAACATCATGTGTCCCGCAGTTTGTATCACGTACCTCTATTATACCACCACGAACTCCGCAGGTACTACCACGTACCTCCACATGCTCCACAGGCACTATCACTTACCTCCACATGCTCCACAGGCACTACCACGTACCTCCACATGCTCCACAGGCACTACCTCGTACCTCCACATGCTCCACAGGCACTATCACGTACCCTCACGTGCCCCGCAGCTACTACCTCGTACCCCCACGTGCCCCGCAGATACTATCACGTGCTGCGCTACGGCTACAACTCGCGTGCGGCCGCGGAGGCGGGCGACGGGCGGCGGCAGCGGCAGCTGATGACGCAGTTCTTAGCGGAGAGCGCCGAGGTCGCGATGCTGAGACTCTTCATAATCTTCCTCGAGGACGCGCCGATTTGCGTCCTGAACCTGACGCAGGTCTTTCTGACGCGCCCTGAGGACATCGCGCACGGTGGGTTGTTGGGGAGGGTTGCTGGTGGTGGGTTAACGGGAGGTTCTGTTGGTAGTGTGTAAAGTGGTAAAATAAGGGTGGCCCAGTGGGTAAAGTTCAGAGTACCAAGAATGGAGCAGAGAGTCGCGGGTTCGATCGCAGCTCTGTGCGCCAGTTTCTGGTCAGAATCGGCGAGGAGGTCGAGCGGTTAAGCAGAGCAGAATTGTATCGGTGAGTTGCGAGTTCAAGACCACAAAATGCTGTGAATGTTCTGCGACGTTGAGAATCGGCGACAGGCCTACGGCCTTATAAACGCTGAAACCGCTATTATTATTATTATTAACTTAAGACGAGTCCTAGATAGCACTGCTTACGGCAGCGCTGGTGCGTCGCTGTCAAATATGCCTCCGATACCGGGACCCAAACTTGGGGATCCTGGGCCGAAGCCGCGCGTTCCAGCATCGCTTTTTGGTGCGTACAGCTCGGGGGACATCAACTAGCCGACACCAGTGCACAGCTCGGGGGACATCAACTAGCCAACACTAGTGCACAGCTGGGGGACATCAACTAGCCAACTCTAGTGCACAGCTTCATCAACTAGCCAACACTAGTGCACAGCTCGGGGGACATCAACTAGCCAACACTAGTGCACAGCTGGGGGACATCAACTAGCCAACACTAGTGCAGAGCTGGGGGACATCAACTAGCCAACACTAGTGCACAGCGGGGGGACATCAACTAGCCGATACTGGTACAATTGCAATTCTTATCACCAAACATCCTGAAAAACAAACATTCCCTTAGTATGCTGAATGCATGTAGGACATACTACAAGTGGTCAAAATCCGAAACGGTTTGCCTGATGTGAGCGCTTGTGGAAGTCGACATGTTCCACACACGTATTGTCGACTGCAGCGTCGCGACGAACAGCGAGACTAACATCAATTGTACTGCAGAGCCGCTGCGTGGTTCCTGTATTCCTTGAGAAATATATCCCCGTGTGGTACCCGCGGTACCTCGGGACACGCAGCTGGTTACTTTTGCAGTCCGTTGGCCACGTTTCCCACGTATGCGGGCTCGGTTTTACCTTGGATCCTTGTGATGTTGTCCTTTATAGCTTCCGGCTTCTTTGCTGTAACTTCGTTCCTTTGTTACAAACATGTAATGCAACTTGCATTTTCTATTTTTCCTGTTTTGTTCATCGCGCGTAAAATGTCTGAATGATCTTATGCCATAGAATTTTTTATGGATTGAGCTGTATTTAACCGGCTAAAATTAACTTGTAAAACGCTTGTTGAATTTATCTGGCCAAAGCTGACTGGGCCAGTTATGTTATCAATTCGTCAAGAGATATTTGAAAATGAAAGAAGCATCGAAAAAAACGAAGCAGCATTGGCAACACGACGGAACTGATAGTAAGTGCCCTATGATGCAGGATTTATGTGGGTAAAGCCCGATTAGGCTCCATAGACTGGTAGCAAAGAACCACATTATACGATCTACTTTGATATAAAAGTCATGCTCTCGCCAACTCTACATCGTTGAAGCAGTACGTAACGCGACCTAATAATGAAATATCTGTCTCGACCACAGTTGGGTTCGCTTTGGGTGTGGTAATAGCGAAGCTGTCGTGCAGCATCACCCTCGGTGTGGTGCACTACGTTTCTCTCACCAAAATCGCCTACCACGCAAGTCTCTACGAGATCACACTGTCCCTCCAGGCGCCTCGGTCCCGCAAGCAGGTAACCTCACTAGCACTTGGTGCTGGTTAATCTCCTCTTTCGGCAATTCTCTCCCTCACTTACCTTGAGTATTGAGAGTACGAATACTTACAAATTCACTACCTTGATTTCCAGATCGCAGTTATTGTATATTTGCCCATAGCCGCAATTGTCTTACTCTAGTCCCCTCTCTGCCGTAGTTGTCGTACTCATGTCTCCTCTCTGCCGCAGTTGTCGTACTCTTTCCCATGGTTGAACTATATAAGGTTGACCCACGAGAAGTTCCGTCTTTCAGTTCAGCCTTCTTGTTACGTCACGTAGATCGAGAAACGTAAACAAACCCGTCATTCCCATGCCTGATTGGTCGACTGGTTTGATCGCATTTCGGTGATTGGCTAATGTCCGTGACGTCACTGAGATCAGTGACGTCACAGGCGAACAACGAGCTACATCCGCAAAAGTGGGCTTCTGATGGGTCAACCTTATACTAGTTCAACCATGCTCTTTCCTCTCTGCCGCAGATGTCGTACGGATCAGACAAGGTTTCAGGCAGCACGTGCAACACTCGCTTGGTCGCCTCCCGCACCAGCAGACGGGAGCTGAAGCGCAAGAATTCACCACTTCTACCGACGCTGCCGAGCCTTGAAGACTTCCAGAAGCGCGCAGACTTCTCCCCGCTAGCGTATCTCTGCTTCTACCTCTGGCAGATCACCAACGTTGGTTAGTTGCCTGATGTGTGACGACTTTAGAACACACGTCTTCATCAATATCAACATAATTCTAACGATTCTTTTAATTGAAAATATTGCTATTGAAATCACCAACGTCACAGTCACTGAAAACTTCCGAATGATTATCATTAACAATGGAGTACGGAGGTGGCCCAGTGGTTAAAGTTCAGAGTATCAGGATTGGAGCAGAGAGGCGCGGGTTCGATCCCAGCTCTGTGCGCCAGTTTCTGGTCAGAATCGGCAAGAGGCCGGGCGGTTAATTAAGCACAGCAGAATTTGAATGGGCGAGTTGTGAGTTCGAGACCGCAACAAGCTGTGAATGTTCTGCGATGTTAAGAATCGGCGACAGGCCTAATAAACGCTGAAAGCGCTATTATTTATTATTATTATTATTTGCAACAACACTCACCGATGAAACACTTCTTCCATGATCATGATCCAATCCGCCTTAGAATAGTGTGTCACGAAGTTGCGTGAACTCCTTCAGGCTGTGCTGTTAACGGGGCCACGGCTGGTGCAGTGCTGGTTTGCTTGCGCTGCGCAAGTTCACGGCTCGTGCTGTGCTTTACACATGGTCACGACTGGTGCTGTACTCACTGTGCGCCAGCGTGCTGATGCTGTGCTGTGTACAGGGTCACGACTGGTGCTGTACTCGCAGTGCTGTGTACAGGGTCACGACTGGTGCTGTACTCGCTGTTCGCCAGCGTGTTGATGCTGTGCTGTGTACAGGGTCACGACTGGTGCTGTACTCGCTGTTCGCCAGCGTGCTGATGCAGTGGGTGCTGCTGCTGGCGGCGGTGCGCTGGATCATCAACACGGTGCTCATCCTCGTCGACAACCCCAACCTGTCGCTCGCAAACTGCGGCTACTTCGGCGGCGTCTACCTCTTCACCTTCGTCTCCACGTCCACGGCGCAGCAGGTGAGCACATCCCTAGGGCGGCAGCACATCCATGGTGTGGTTTGACTTGATGCGGCCAGGTAAGAGTGCGACTATATACAAATTCTTCCAGAGAAGAATAAAAAAAAATTTGAAGTTACGCAGTAAACAGCGAGTTGCACGAGCAGTGAGCATGTCGATGGAAAACCATCGAATATGTGATTGATTCATAAGTTTAAAGTACAGGTCATCCATAGACTAATAATTGAAGTGTAGATAAATGTATCTCTTACATACGAGGGCAATCAATATTACAGCCAACGTACACGAGCACTTTATGATGCTGTACTAATCTCGCAGTACATTCGCCTGATGCTGTACTATGCGCTGAACGCCATCGAGTGCACGGCGGTGGCGGTGATCTGGTGGACCAACGAGCCTGAGGTGCTCTACCACGTGATGGGCTTCAGCCTTCTGCTGGGGGGGACGGGTATGAGCGTCCTGCTGATGCTGCTCTACTACGGCGTGGCGCACCCTAACAGCAGAGACACTTGGGGCCGCAAATGGTGTCGCAAGATCACGAGTGGAGAGGTTGAGAGCAGCGACTTGTAGTGAACAAAGTCTTATGAGGTCCTCGCTTTGACAGGCTCAACGGTGAGGTCATCAATTAATTTATAACGTGGAGAACTAGTCCAATGTCAGTGTTTATGTTGAATGTATTTAGCTGTACCAAATGACAGTGCAACAATTAGATCATGTGGGTTGATTTCTTAAGACCTGGTAGATTTGCCAACAGAGGCATTCCGCCAGGTAGGAATGGACAGAGTATTGAACGAGCCCTCTAATGCATCTGCAACTTTTTCAATATTGCCAATGCATAACAGAACAAGACCATGGATAAAATATTTAAAACATCCAACAGAATTTCATATATTTTATTAGAAATTGCATACTGCAAAATACACGTTTACTTTTGTCAATTTCTTTTCCTTTCCTGATCAATATATGCTCTGAGAGAGAATACGTTTAATTAACAAAGGTAGAAACTATACTTTCCCATGGCAATATATTTGCAAGCAATCGAAGCGGGTAATAAACATAAGCAGATTGTATATCTTGTTAACCAATATTGACATCACTGGTGATGAACAACAACAAGCAACTGCTCTCAAAACATCTTTGTTCCTCAAAAATGTAACTACAAACTATTAATTGATCATTTGCAACTGGTATACGGCAACAAAATATTATTTCCTACTTGGCAAACGCCTCAAGTTCTACATAAACCCTTACCAGACACATTGCGGGCTTAATCACATCCAAGCCTCGCCGCTGTTAATCAATCCAAGTAGACATGACTATCACTGTTGATTCCTCTCTTGATCCCCAGCTCTAGTACCATTAACTTTTGTTCCTTCCTCTTCATGACATCGTTGTATACCACAGCGCTCCGGTCTTAATGTGCAAAATATCGTCGATATTTCCCCACAAAAATAATCACGTCTAGTCCACTTTGACCTCATAATTCTTAGTCATCTACGCTAGGGCTTCATTTTGGTTCAACGCTAATTGAAATAACTAAACAAGTCCAGTCGTTACCTTAATCTAGTATTCATATCGAAGCTAGAAATAACTGCATCCGCAGGCAACACATATTTACAAGAGGTGCGCAATATCTCATTTTCCAGTAGCGACAGCAAAAAAAACTCCGTTGATAAAATCTAAATAGAAGCAGCAGCAGCAGCAGCGAGGCTCTCGCCGAGACCACAACAACTTCGCAGCGCAGGGGCGTCTTCGCCTGCAAATAAAGAATACGTCTTCAATATTACTAAACAAAAAGAATGAGACAAACTGAGAAATTTTTGAAGGGTTGACATGCACATCTATTGAACTTGTAATCAAATAGTTATTCATGATCATAGTGACGATCAGTGCCCAAACCTGCAGTGGCAACGTGCTACCTCATTTGCCTGGCAACAAGTCAATGCTTCGTCTACACAGTTAGTGGCTACAGTGAAGGTCGCGACCAGCAGACCAAAGAAGTTCATATCGATGTAAATGACAGCGTCCGGACCAGGTTATATATATAGCAGTACACTCTTCTTCCCGTGTAAATATTAACGATGGGATATATTGCTTCAGTAATAAATAGTTCACTGGCCGTTATTACCGGAGATTCAGGTCCAGTAATAAATAAAAAAAAAACTTGAACATCTACAATTTATAATAATATTTTAGACGGCTCAGTATGTTAGCAACAAATTAACAATAAATAAGAATCCCCATGTCGATGATAAAGATTTAGCAGGGAAACGAACCTGACGTGTTTACTTCTTGGGTTTCTTCTGCTTGCGTCGCGTGTCTTCTTCGTCGTCGTCGAAGGAGGGCGAGTAGATGGGCGAGGTGGGCGAGTAGCCTGGCGTGGTGGGCGAGTAGGTGGGCGACGTCGGTGAGTACTTGGGTGACGAGGGCGAGTAAGAGGGCGAAGTGGGTGAATACTTGGGGGATGAAGGCGAGTACTGGGGGGAAGAAGGTGAGTAGGTGGGGGAGGCTGGCGAGTACTTGGGTGATGAGGGAGAATATTTGGGGCTGGATGGGGAGTAGGTGGGGGAAGTGGGAGAGTAGGTGGGTGAGGTAGGCGAGTACTTGGGGGAGGAGGGGGAATAGGAGGGCGACCCGGGGCTGTAGGTTGGCGATGCAGGAGAGTAGCTGGGGGAAGTGGGGGAATACTTGGGAGATGTTGGGGAATACGTGGGGGAGGCAGGCGAGTACTGCGGTGAGCTGGGGGAGTACGAGGGAGAAGTGGGGGAGTAGCTGGGAGATGAAGGGGAGTAGCCTGGAGATGAAGGTGAGTAGTTGGGTGCATACGATGGGGAGGTGGGGGAGTAGGAGGGGGAAGATTGGACGATGTGGGACGGCGACGTGGGGGAGTAGCTGGGGGACGTCGGTGAATAACTGGGAGATGTCGGGGAGTAGGAAGGAGACGTGGGGGAGTAGGAAGGTGAAGTTGGGGAGTAAGATGGGGAAGTAGGCGAGTAAGAAGGCGAGGTTGGTGAGTAGCTGGGGGAAGTGGGGGAGTACGAAGGTGAAGTCGGGGAGTAGCTGGGGGATGTAGGAGAGTAGGAGGGAGACGTAGGGGAATAGCTGGGGGAAGTGGGGGAGTAGCTTGGCGAAGTGGGTGAGTACTGCGGTGAGGGCAAGTACTGGGGACTGGTGGGGGAGTAGGTTGGTGACGTGGGGGAGTAGCCTGGGGACGAGGGTGTCATCCTCGACGCGGGCTGGTAGGCAGGCGAAGAAGGGGAGTAGGACGGGGAGGTGTGGGCAGGCGAGGGGTTGAAGGGACTCATGCCGCCAGGGGAACCTGGTGACCCAGGCTGTGGGGACCAGGCAGGGGAGTAGCCAGGGGAGAGGCCAGTGGCATCGGATGCCGCCGCGGGAGAGAACGCTGGTCCCCCTGGGGTCATGCCGCTCCCCACGCCGGGGGTGAAGGAGCCGAAGGGACTCATGCTGGGGGTGGCGCCCGAGGCCCAAGGGGTGTGGGCGGGGGTGAGACCAGACGAGGAGCCGGGGCTCGATGCTCCAAAGATGCCGCCGGCGGCGCCGTACAGAAGCCCTCCACCAGGCATGGGAATCTCCATGCCCAGCTTACACTTCTCGTCGTCGAGCACCAAGTCGAAGCATCCAGTACCCACTTTGGGCAGCTGTCCCAGGATGATGTTCTCCGACACGCCCCTGATGGGGTCGACCTCAGCGCATGACGCGGCCTCGATGAGCACGTCGACGGACTCCTCAAAACTGCACTTCATGAGGGCGCCGGTATCCTGCCTGTTGATGCCGTGCCTCGTGATAGCCATCAGGTGACCCTTGCTCGTCATCACGTCACACAGTAAGGCGAGGTGACGATAATTCACGTACAGGCCGTAGAACATGAGCACAGCGTTCATTTCCTTCTCGACACTCTTACGCACGGCCTCGATGCCGAGCGCTTCAAACACCTCAAGGATGTCGTTGCTCGACGTACGTACAGGATCCACGTCTCGCTCCGACAGCACGCGCATCAGCGCCGTGCCGTCAGTCTCGAGCAGCCACTCGGCGATGGCTTTGAACTCGCCTTGCTCGTTGATGATAATGCGTTTCTTCTCGTCCGTCTGCGGCAAATGCATGTAGACTTTGCTGATGGATTCGATGCCCTGCAATGTCAAGTCGTTGAGCATGTTAGCTTCAATGCAGCGCAGGAAAGTGTCGTCCTCCATCTTGTCCACCTGTTCCTCTGCATCATCAGCAAGTTTGTCATCTCCTACGATAATACGAATACGCAATACCAATTTTTCGGCGTTATCGTCGTTGAAAATGCAGTTAAGATCGTCACCGAAACCAGAGTTGATCTTCTGAGAGATTTGCTCCATGGTTAATTTACGATCAGTCATTTTCTTGCGGTCAAGTTCGATTCTCAGGAGCCAAGGAGATATCCTGGACACGTCAAAGTCGGGCATCTCGTAATAGACGTTGACGAACTCCTGGTCCTCCGAAATGACGGTGTTTTGGGGGTCAGGGTCGTAGTAGATTGCCGTGTTGGACGTGACCTTCCTGAGTGTGGTGTGCTCTAGACGGCACAGAACGTTCTTGGCTTTTTCAGCATCACGAGCAGCAGCGCCCGATAAGAAGACGGTAAGTGACGGCGCCTTGGGCTTCTTGGAGACGTTGATGATCTCCTTCAGTCGCGGCACTCCAAGTGTTACGTTCTTCGAAGACACGCCAGCGAAATGGAAAGTGTTGAGGGTCATCTGAGTTGCCGGCTCACCGAGACTTTGCGCGGCCAGAGGTCCCACCATCTCACCAGGGTTCGTGATAGCTTGGTTGAACCTCGTCTCAATCTCACCAATAAGCCAGTTGAAAGCCTCAGTACTGAGTCGATACTCCTCGGCCACTTTCTTTGTGCACAGAGTAGAGCGAACCAGGCACTGGAAAAGAAGCTTGGCGTTCTCATTGGCTTGCACGCTGATGCGATCCTCGCCAGCCACGATGCAACATTTGCGCAGCGTGTTGCGCACGCCTTCGATCACGCGCACAGGCGTCAGGTCCGTCGGTGAACGCCGGCTGATGTGAAAAATCTTCTGGACGTTCCAGATCATCCGCTCTAAATTACACGGCAGTACTACCTGTAAATAGACGTCGACTTTCAGAACAAAAGTGAAAAATAACGAGCAACAACATGGTTCATGAACGTGTTAATACGTACACTTGGACGGAGCCTCTTTTGTACTTGTATTTACCTAACTTATTGGGCACGTAGAGTCATTTTAATTTGGCTTTCAAAATGCGTACCCTACATGGACAATAAAACAGCGAATAATAATTGTTCAACTTTCCATTTGCGCTACAGAGAGCAGCTGAATCAAGCGTAGATTAGATACGTGACTTATTTATACAAAATATAAATTTGCGTGAGAAGTTAAAAGAAGAGGGTGGTTGGCAGACGTCGAGAATCAAAGTCAGCTTGATTCTCGTTTGTGAGCATGTCCAGTGAATTAGCAGCGCTAGGAGAGCTGCAGCTGTGAGTGCCGCCGTAAAGCAAGGCTATGTCACTCCATAAGCTCATAATTTGGCGTGAGTTTATAGAACTCACCTTAGTGTCCCCCTTAGGGAAGACGGTACGCAGGGCCTTCCTGTCCTCCTGCAACTGGTGCCACTCCTCCTCCAGCAGCGCGATGGCCTCAGAGGACCCAAGCAGCTCGCGCACCACATCCTCTGTGAAGATGCGCCTCAGATACCTGAAAGGGTAACGATTATGACGCGACTCTCTCGGCAATATTAGCGGCAAGATGTAGAAAGAGGGTTGATGAAGGAGAGTGCCTAATGGCGTTGTCATCTCAATAGTTGTAAGAATGCTTCTACCACGATCGTCAGTCAATTACATGTCGGCAATTGGATAGTCTGGTCACTTCAACCTGCCTTTGATAAATCACATGAAAATTGAATTATGCAAACAACAACAGAGACCAGCGATAAATGCAAACAACGACCTATTCAAGATAGTGCTAACTCACTGCAAACTTGCTTGGATGTTAATTTCGAAGTTCGTCACTAACAACGAGCAAATGTAAAAGTATCAGCAAACGGAATATTTGATGATTTTAAATTTCACTCCAGCCACGGAAGGATATTCCTAAACAAAATTTAATTTTTGATTTAATAGACGACTGGGCAAGAAAAGCGTCACAGGCTATCAAAACAGAGTACACACAATATAATGAGATGCTCAAAAGTAGTAAATAAAGCACAAGGCATCAATACTCACCGCTCATTGGTGATGTCAAATTTGTACATGTCTTCAAAGCGGCGATTGGAGAGCTTCACTGTGGGCATTTTCTGGAACTCGACGAACTCTCCCGCCAAGCCATCTTCTCCATACCTGCGATGGTACAACACAGATTGTTGCCTTAAAAAAATTTCCATTACATTCAACCTAACCAAGCAGTACAGGCTCCACAGTTTTTAGGAGTAAACCTCCCGATATTCCGCATCCCAATTTCGACTCCATTGGTCATTCAAACAAGCCACAATGAAATTCTCAGTTTGTCCAGCAGCTATGAACAAATGACATAGGTGCTTCACAGAGACATCGTATAGTTGCAACTACGATTTATTTCAAGTGTAGTGTTAGAACTTCAATAAATTGTTGGACATGAGCGAGACGTTCTATTCGCCACGCCACGACATGTAATGAGAAGGCGATTCAAACCGCATTCTAGTTCATATATTAAGTTTTGCTGCTGGAAACTTCTTCCAACTTCCCTTAGTATAACGTCTTGCAGAAGACTTAAGATGAGAGATTTGCAGTGAACTTTATATCAAGTTTTTGGAGATACACACCTGAGTTGGATGACCTGGGAGACGCTGTTTCTGACGGTGCCGTCGTAGTTCACCATCACACTCTCCATGGCTTTGATGAGACGACGCTGGATGTAACCTGAAACAGCGTTGAAATTAAAGGAACATATACAACAAAATACAATCACATACAATGGTGATCACCTGAGTCGTGTTGCCAATATAATTTTATGAATGAGCGTGGCTTATGGCTTTCTATGGTAGGTGGCCAAACTCACTAACTCTAAAGAACGTGCTGAGCTCCATTGCCTGCGGACGTAAGACAGAAGCCCGCAGAATCAGTTACCACGTTCCTTACTATTGTTCCTTTAAAATATTTAAACTAGGGTTAGTAGCTCTGGCTTTCTTTCTCTAAGAGTATAATTGACCTACTAATTGCGTCACGTGAAAATTAATTCAAAATGAATAAGAAGAGAGTTGACAGCAGTACAGAATTTTGATACATTTCTGTCTCTGAAAAGCCAACAACCCCGACATGTCACACCAGACTTGCATGTCCTAAGCAAGACCCACTGCTCAATGCTCACCACATCTCTAACGCTCAGCATAAAAGACTCGCCTGTCTCAGCAGTCTTGACAGCTGTATCAATGAGACCTTCACGACCTCCCATAGCGTGGAAGTAGAACTCAGAGGGCGTGAGGCCGGCGAGGTATGAGTTCTCTACGAAGCCTCGCGACTCAGGACCGTAGTCGTCCTTGATGAAGTGCGGCAGGGTGCGCTTGCGGAAGCCAAAGGGGATTCGCTTGCCTTCAACGTTCTGCTGCCCCACGCACGCGATAACCTGGCAATATGGCGACAATGACACTTTAATGAAATGGTTCAAAGCAATAGAATTATATAACTTCAGTGCACTTTAAATTATATGAAAAATAACATATATATACTGATCAACATACAAAAAATATGTGTACGGCGAAATAGGAGAAAAAAAAAGTATATAAAAATTGATATAAATGAAATTTGATGGAATTTCGAATGTTGAAATGTGGCGACACAGTCTAAAATATTGTAGTTTGGCACTCGATCAATGTTGATCTTCTCACCAACTGCAAGCCACAAAACGATCAAGTACCTGAGAGATATTGATGTTGGAGCCCTTAGACCCAGCGACGACCATAGCCTTGAGGTTATTATCTTCAGTGAGGGATTTTTTAGCGGAGCCGCCGGTCTTGTCTCGAGCGTCGTTGAGGATGCGGTTCACTTGGTTCTCGAAGGTCTGACGTAGGGTGTTACCCGGCGTCGGCTCCAGCTCGTCATTGTGAGCTTTGTGGATAACCTGCAGACATCGTTACATAATTTCACTGACACGTGAAGCATAAAGCTTAGGAGCCAAACTATGATGCTGTAGGGATCAATTAATCTTTTACACATCAAGAAGATAGAGCGTCAACATGTGCCAAAGTGGAAAGAAAGTTATCAGTCATGCAGTGGAGCTACAAGTCAGCACATGCAACATCCTCAAATATTAATCCCCACTATACAGTATCATAAAAAGTTGCGTATCTCTTTAGTTACAGATGGTCTCTATATTTTGTTTACTTCTCGCCTAATGTCTTGAGTTTTACATACAGGGTGAATGACAATGTTTAAATCATATCCAGTTTTGCTGAAAATGACATCAAGTTTTGACGTGAATAATATAACATGCTTGTACTATACAGAGTTCTTGTGTTATGAGTACAATATAGAGTTGAGATAGGAATATCGGACCTGCATGACCTCCTCCTTGGCCTTGACGATGGTGTCCTGAATGACGAGGTAGGTGTTGGGGTCAGAGATCGTATCACCGATACCAATGCTGTGGCCCTGCAGCAGCAGCCAATTGTTCACCACCTGCACAGGGGGTCAGTGTTATCGCAATGCATTATAATATAACTGCGGTGTTCCTGGGCGCGCATTCAACACAGCGTTTTCAAATGATCAACACCGCAGTGTTCCCTAATGCAGGCAGTCAAGGTGTGCAATAAGGGGGACACAGAGGTCCCTGAAGTAGCAATCAAGGTGCCTATGAACAAAATCGTTCACACCACCTCAATGGTGACATCAACTAATTTTAAATGAATATAATGAAAAATGTTCAAGAAAGTTGCCAATAAGGAATGATATTATAGATAGTGACATTTCATCAGTTTTCTCAGCAATGAATTCTGCTGTAATTCCTAGCCATGTGCCACGCTGGAATTGTTTGGAAGCCCGCCACTCACGGTCTGAATGTTGCCATAGAAGCGGCCAGCAATCTCGTGTCCCAGCTCCATCCAGGCAACGTGGAGCAGCGAACCTGACGACGAACCCAGCGTCTTCTTGCAGAGGATGCCCATGATGAGCTCTCCGTGCTCCACCAGCACCTGCAGCAGAGTAACATGCATGATTTGATAAAGCCTAAAAAATCCAGAACATGAAAAAATAGAAAATAAGACCATGAGCGCATCAGTGTAGAGTGAGAAGCCATAATGGCGCAGTGCCCACCTTGGTGTCGCCGGGAGAAATCCACCTGTTGAGGGTATCGTCCTCGTCGTCGGGGTGCGTGGAGTGCGTCTTGACGAGATTCAGGTTGCCTGGGATGATCAGCGAGAAGAGCTGCTTGCCTGTCCAAAGCGGCTGCAAAACAAGTTCATAGAAGTCAGGTTCTATAATATATCGTTTGTTATAAAGAAGTCACTAAGGAAAATTTGGATAAGAAATAATACATTACATTCTTGTACATATTGCTGACACACAAGTGTGAGATTCGACATACTAGTTGATTGCCTGCTTATAAGAGAGTATGCTATATTAGTCGCTACCAATATTTAGAGTATTGCTCTAAACAGAGTAAAAATGGTCTGAATTATGATGTTTCAGCGCACTATGCAGCTACTAGCTTTGTAAGTGACTAGTTATTGCATGCTGAGGCTATGCGTTGGTTCCAGGGCTAATAGTTACATTTGTAGCCCACGTCTATTGGCCGCGATATGGTTGCACCGGAGTGAGTTAATATGAACGATTCTCGCTTAAATACGCACAAAATAAAGCTAATCAAGTAGGAGCTCACTGACCTTAGGCTTGAGGATGGCAGGCTGGGGCATGTGGCCGTCCCAGATGGGCAGGAACATCAGCAGGTTCATCATCTCGTGCTGTTGTCAGATATAAGAATTAGATATATAAGATATAATAAGTTTGTATTGTACTTCCAGTGACTCGAGGCTCATCATAAACTATAGAAAGCTGATCAATGAAAATGCAAGTTTAATGCAAGTTACGTGGCCTAGCAACATCGTGGACGTCGATTGCATTAATTGATTGAGTGCATGTGTTTGCTTGTTCACTGGTAGACACTCGTGCAGGATTCCTTATTCAAATTTGAAATATAAAAATAATACCAATTCTTAGTAGAGATAATACATTATAAAAGAACGCAAAGCTGCTGCTTTCAATGCAAATAATTAATACGGAAGTAATTAATTTAGTAAGTTAAGATGCAAGCATCACCCAGGACGGTGCATGGAGCGGAGTAATTCACTTCCCCGAAGACTATTTACGCCAGGAATTATACAGATCTGTCATGTACAAATAGATTACAAACCGTACGTGAAAAGCTAAATAAGCTGAGGAGAAATCTCTTCTGATACTATATGAAACTGCATAATTTAGCGACTAACTATATTAAACTATATAATTTAGCTACTCTAAAAATGCGTCACTCTTGGTTCTCTTGCAGGGTGCCTGCTTCGTTCATCATAAGTAAATAAGTTGTATTGAATTCTAAATATCAACAACCAGAAAGAAAGTCAAAACTCTTAGCATAAATCTCGTTCTGGATAATAGTTGGTCATATCAAGGGAGACGTGCCCCCTGTTAACAGAAATCAGCTACAATAGTGGCTCAAATACTATTGTATTTGATCCACTATTATTGTATTTGACCCACTAATAGCTCACCTACAATGACCCGTAATAAGACCAATAACAGATGGTGGTTATAGCTCACCTTCTCCAAGAAGACGTCCCTCTTGGTCATCTTGCAGACGGCAGTGAGGGTATCCTGCACAATACCCATGACGGGCTTGTTGGCCTGGGGCGTGATGATCATGCGGGGCGTGATGTGCAGGTTCTCAATCTCTGCTCTGGTCTCCATGCTCTGCGGCACGTGCAGGTTCATCTCGTCACCGTCGAAGTCTGCGTTGTACGGTGACGTCACAGACAGGTTCATGCGGAATGTCGACCACGGCAGCACCTGCACAAACAACAATGAGTCTTCCAATTATATGATATCAAGAATAAGAGTTTACAATAAAGTTATGAATGTCAGACATCAGAATAACGCGATTTGAATGTAGGAATATCAGCTACAGAAGTACCAATGAACATGTCAGTACAAAGTTCAGGGAAGTTGACCAGGTGATCAAATGAACTGCAAGCCAAGAGGAGAGCTTCAACCATTTTATATACGTCAAGAATGTTTTGAAATGGCAGCACATAAAAAAAAAACAATAGAAATGTCTACTTTTCAAGTATACTACGAAGATAACTTCTATTACGTCTACATCAATTATTCATAAAAAGAAGTTATCATTATTCAAATTATTCATAAAAGATATCACTGCGCTAGCGCCATAAATGAAATTGCGTAGGATTTCATTCCAAATCAACAAGGAATCACTTGCAGGGACATGATTTTGGCACTTGTATAATAAAAACAATGCATCATTGATGTACCTAAATTGATGACAATACCTTGACACGATGCCCCATCATGGACATCTTGTGCAGCGTGGGTTGTCTGTTGAAGATGATGAGATCGCCGTCGGTGATGTGACGCTCGACCTTGTAGCCGCACTGCAGGTGCAGGTCCGAGGGCTTGGGGTGGTAGCGCAGGTCGATGCGGGCGCCGTTGTCACGCACGATATACTTGGCTCCAGGGTACTGGTTGTTACCACGCTTCACCAGCTCCATCATTCTGTGTGCCAACACTCTATTATTCTTTGGGTCTATGCATAGACTATTTGTTAATGAGAAAATTCAGAAACTTGGGTTTACAAGTACACAACACAACCAAGGTATATACTAACAATATCTACATTTACAAGCACAGTATATTAGATGAAACCTTGCCGTACCTAACGTACAAATACAAAGAGTGAAAAAAAATTTGTTGCACGACCTCATCTTGCAGGCCCTGCAAGCTACATCTTGTTTGCAGCAAAGTTCGTTACAGCAATAAATAAATGTGTAGCATTAATGACATCTGAATTAAAAAAATACCGCGTATACATACCACACTGCACAACATTGATGGCATCTTGCTAACATGAGTAGCCATTGTGAACAGTCGAGATATACCTACATATAGAAATTCAACAAAATATTTGCAGCACATGAATTACAGCCTTGTGATATACCAAAGACATACCATCCTTTCATGTTTGATACTCTCATACCCCTTCCAGTTCCATATAAGAGAAACAAAAACACAATTCATTCAATATACATACACCCCCTGCACCAATAGGATGTGCACACTCACACGCACCCCCTGCACCCTCTCATATGCGCACCCCCTGCACCTTCTCACATGCACCCCCTGCACCCTCTCACATGCACCCCCGGCGCCTATAGGGCTCCACCCACTTGGTCATGTTGAAGGGGGTGACGATCTCAGGGTACGTGAGGTTCTGTGCAATGGAGCGCGGCACCCCAACTTGGTCAATGCGCAGGTTGGGGTCTGCAGTGATGACAGTGCGAGCAGAAAAATCCACTCGCTTGCCCATCAAGTTACCACGAATTCTTCCTTCCTTGCCTTTGAGACGCGCCTTGATGGCCTTCAGAGGGCGGCCAGACTTTTGAAGTGCCTTAGGCAGCCCGGGCATATCGTTGTCAGTTAGGGTGGCTACATGGAACTGTAACATGCGGATATTTTCCTGAATGATGTGAGCAGCAGAGCCGTTCTGCTCGTTACGAATGAGTTCGTTGTTGGCTTTGATGATATCGGCGAGCTTGTGCGTGAGATCGTCCTGGTTGCGGGCGGCGCCGTGCATGACGACGGCGGGGCGAACAGACAGCGGCGGCACAGGCAGCACCGTCATGATCATCCAGTCAGGGCGCGCGAACTTCGGGTCCATGCCCAGCAGGTAGCACTCCTCGTCTGAGACAGGTCAGCTAATTACACATCAAAGTAGCGTAACATTAATCACTAATTTTGATGTTCAATGCCTTAGAAGTAAAAAAAAATTACACGAGACGTTAAATCAATTGCTGGTTTCAACTAAACAACTATACATGATAGCAAAGTTAATTCACAAACTCAAAAGAGGCTTTGATTAAATGACAAAGTTTGTTAACTAGTCATTAATTATCGTCTTGAAATGTATACAATCCAGCAGCCACTAGAAACCTTGCTGAGAGAGAAAATGTGATGTTATTTGCGTGGCATTTAACATAGATGTTCGTAATAATGCAGGAGTGCGAACGACTATGTCAGCCTCGATCTTTTTCTCGAATCATAGTGACGACCTTGGGTGATAGTAAGGACAGCTTTAAATCATGTAACTGTAGTCTAGTTATGATTAAATACGAGTTATGAGTTAAATATGGTTCAAACTCTTATTCTTTTCAAACCCTTTCTGGTTCTATTCCACTCTTATTCTATACTTTGTGATCTGGGTCTTATGCAGTCACTTTTATTTGTCACCTCATATATTAATAAGCAACAAAAATATCCATTTCAATTACATAATAACTATTAACTATATCATTTGTAAAAGGAGAAAAAGATACCAAGCAACTTATACACTGTGAAGGGCCATGCCTGATCCCCTTGCACGATCCACTCAAGGTACTGCCACTGACTTGATGTGCATGTGAAGATCTCATGGACCCTCTCGGCAGAGAGGAGGTACTGCCACTGACCTGATATGCGCTTGAAGATCTCATGGACCCTCTCGGCAGAGAGGAGGTACTGCCACTAACCTGATATGCGCTTGAAGATCTCATGGACCCTCTCGGCAGAGAGGACAATTTTTTTCTCCTGGTTGTCCTCATTGACATGCTTCCACTCTGCGATGAGCTCCAGTCCTGTGCGCTTTATCTTGGGCTGGTAGTGGCCACAGCCTCCGTGCCCTGTGCCCTTCTTGCCTGCAAGTCAACAACATCCATGGCATGCTGGGATCAAAATTTGCATACAGGGATCAATATTATCATAGTGGGGTCGGGATTGAGACGATATTGGCAGGGTGGGTCAGGATTGTGATGATATTGGCAGAGTGGGTCAGGATTGTGATATTGGCAGGGTGGGTCAGGATTGTGATGATATTGGCAGAGTGGGTCCGGATTGTGATGGTATTGGCAGAGTGGATCAGGACTGTGATGATATTGGCAGAGTAGGTCAGAATTGTGATGATATTGGCAGGGTGGGTCAGGATTGTGATGATATTGGCAGAGTGGGTCAGGATTGTGATGATATTGGCAGGATAGGTCAGGATTGTGATGATATTGGCAGGGTGGGTCAGGATTGTGATGACATTGGCAGAGTGGGTCAGGATTGTGATGATATTGGCTATTGGCAGGGTGGGTCAGGATTGTGATGATATTGGCAGGGTGGGTCAGGATTGTGATGATATTGGCAATGTAGGTCAGGGTTGTGATGACATATGCAGGATGGGGTTTAAGAGTTGGGTTAGGAGAAAGACGCCATCAGCAGGGCATAGTTTTAGGGGAAGCTTTGTCTGCATTAGTCAGGTTAGACGGAGAAAAGGTAATATATAACGAACATTAATTGCAAATAAGTAAATGGTAAGGAAGCCTTAATGAAGCCAAGGACCATTATTTTCTGTTGGAAAATAAAATAAAAATGATGATACTTAGCTGGAATACATATACAATAATTATGTATAAAACATGTGCGATGAATGCTAACTTGCTAAGTGAAAAAGCCCCAATCCGGTAAAAGCTTGATCATTATTATCTGACTTCACTACAACTCACGGCGATCAGCTGACAGTGGCAAGTGATTTTGAGCTGACTACGATCAGCTGACAGTGGCAAGTGATATTGTGCAGACTACGATCAACTGACAGTGGCAGGTATGTTGAGCTGACTACGATCAGCTGACAGTGGCAGGTAATGTTGAGCTGACTACGATCAGCTGACAGTGGCAGGTAATATTGAGCTGATTACGATCAGCTGACAGTGGCAGGTAATATTGAGCTGATTACGATCAGCTGACAGTGGCAGGTAATGTTGAGCTGATTACGATCAGCTGACAGTGGCAGGTAATGTTGAGCTGATTACGAGCAGCTGACAATGGCAGGTAATGTTGAGCTGACTACGATCAGCTGACAGTGGCAGGTAATGTTGAGCTGACTACAATCAGCTGACAGTGGCAGGTAATGTTGAGCTGACTACGACCAGCTGACAGTGGCAGGTAATATTGAGCTGACTACAATCAGCTGACAGTGGCAGGTAATATTGAGCTGACTACGATCAGCTGACAGTGGCTAAGCAATAAATAAGCCCACCTTTCTGCTGTTGCTGGTCGTCACGCTCTGCCCCGATGTCGACCTCATCACCGCCCTCACAGATCATCTTGCCCTTGCAGAGGTTGTAGACGTGCAGCAGGCGCTTGCGCGGCTGCCCCTTGGCCTTGGTCACGATCTCGCGGATCTTCGGATGTGTCTGAACATACAAGCAACATCTTACCATCTCTTCACAATAACTAAATGTTAGAAACTAAATTATTTTCTAAATAAATCATTACTCGTCATCCCCAGATGAGTGTTATATTCTATTGAAAACATACTCTATGTTCGGTAACGGTATGAATATTTATCCCAAAAGAAAGCATCATGCGAGTTATTATTTATTGGATGCTTGATAACCAATCTAAAAATGATTAAAGAATTCTGCTTGCCATTAATGCAATGAATTTCAAACAGAAGCCTTCTCCCATACCCATCTATTCATTTATGAATTCCTTGGAAGCTTGGAATGCTTCTTTTAATTCCCTATGGATGTGAACATCAAAGCATGTTAATTAAAAACGCATAGCACAGCAACTCAGCAACCTGCTGATCTTGCTGCTGAATCAGCAAAGCTGACTGAGTGTGATGTGGCACAATGCGTCTGCATGTGGCACAATGTGTCTACATGTGGCACAATGCGTCTACATGTGGCACAATGTGTCTACATGTGGCACAATGTGTCTACATGTGGCACAATGCGTCTGCATGTGGCACAAGGTGTCTGCATGAGGCACAATGTGTCTGCATGAGGCACAATGTGTCTGCATGTGGCACAATGTGTCTGCATGTGGCACATCAACCTTCTGAGTGAATGACCAACTATAGGTAATTCAGAGCGCCTGACCAGAACATAAGAGGCAAGGCTTCTAGCAGTTCAACTGCCTTGCTATCACCTCATGCTGGACCCTAGTATATAAAATCTACAAGGCCACAACAGTCCACTCAACTAGGCAACATTGATATGGCAAGATTGTAGAGCATCAAATAAAATTAGATTGCACTAACTTAAATTTTTCTTAAAGAATTATCAAGAAGTCCTCTTTGCCTCCAAATACATATGGTCAGATTTGCAACCTAAAAAATGGCAGCTTACATCTTGGGTTACAGATCAAAAAACGCTGTTGTAACACTGAGACTCACGGCACTGAAGAGGAGTTTGCTGCAATAGAAGCAGACGCAGCGCAGGACCTTCATGGTCTTAGTGATGAAGCCGACGTGGTAGACGGGCTTGGCGAGGTCGAGATGCCCGAAGTGGCCAGGGCAGTCGGTCATGTTGCCCGCACATGTGGTGCACCGAGTATTCCTGCAACAGTTATGTTCTTGATGATCTCTAGAGCTGAATGTTTGATGCAGGTATTTTCATCATGCACAGGATAAGTTTGATAGTTTACACAACCACTTTACATCACATAGGGTAGCAAAATGTATAGGTATACATCAAACAGTGCATGATCTTGTGGCTCAATTGTCAATTATTCCATTCCATCACCATTTGTCAAGCAGACAGCATCAACATAATCAAATATGATGTAAACTTTAATCCTTTACAACAAGGAATAAAAACATGCTATAGCTGGTGTTTGAGCCTGTTCTTAGAAAATTCTAACATTATATACCTATAAAAATTGTACAAATTATCAGCTGCATGACTAATTGCAGAAACATTTTTATTTTTTGCAGCAAAACGGTATATTCATAAATCCATGGATATGGCATGTATCATTTTGATGTTTTAGCTGCAAAGTGATGGACAGATGAATGTTGATTGGCAGTGGCACAATAATGCTGCTTCTAAAATGTATCTAACACATAACAGGGGGTATGAAGGGATGCTTCAGGAGATTGAGTTTTGATTTACAGTTATCTCATCATGAACTATCATCAATCTCCTGCTCATCATACCATAGATGTGTTCACCACTACCATGTTCAAGCATTAAAATCAAAGCAGTTAAAACATTGTGACTCATACACCAAAGCTGATACTTTTTCATTATAGATAACAGGTGTAATGATATCTCATGAATTTAGATCAATAGCCTGATCCTAAATGAATATATTATTTCAAGTTAGATACCGTAGTTGTTATATTTATAAACAAGCTTCATTCTATACAATCATGAGAATGATTGAAGATGAATCTGATAATGAAGATTGAAAGTTATATAAAACTAATGAGAATAATTTACACATCTCTCGGCAAAAAATTGCTAGTACATGAACATGTACAATGTTTGTAGCATTTATGATGACTTCAATACGAGTGCTCCGCTACCTGTCAATGCATCCCTGCCGAGGGTCCATGAGGCCTCCCTGCTTAGGGCGGCCATTTTCATATACTTCGGGGTACTTGATGCCACCTGTGGTTACTGACATGCGCCGCTGAGGGGGAGGGAGGCAAAGCAGCATATTAACATCAGTTATCAGCATTAATCAATGAGGTGAAACCTTATTTAGGGGACAAGTGTTTCTTGGGAAAAATGCCAGCAAAATTAAAGTTTAATTGCACTGAATAACCTAATAGTATAAATATTTGACAATGATGGTTCACCATATAAAACTGAGTCAGATTTTGCTAATGGTCAGATATGCAGTGGTCAGATATTTACCAGGCCAGTGAAAGTTCATTTTCATAAGGGAACCTGTTTCCAATCTGCTAGCCCATAATAAAAATCAAGAGGACACCCATAAGTTTAGATATACTATACAACAATATAAGAAATACTCACAATTTCATCAGGGCTGAGGATGCCAAACTGCACACGCTTCACGCTGCGCAGCGGAGCCTTACTCTCCGTGGCCATCCTGCTGCAGTTGTGGCAGGTCTACCAACTAGTATAGACTTTTGTAGTGTAGATTAAATCCTGATAAAGTTGTTCAATACTGACACTTGAGCATTGAAATATTTCAAGATGAACTGATTCAATGATTCAATTGTAGAAAACTCTGTGAGGAAGAATATGACCTGCATTAATTAAGCAACTATTGGCAAAATAAGGCATGCATCTGTGCACTCATCAACTACAAGCTTGATGCCTTCAGCTTACTCCTTCTGCCACAATGCTGTCACTCCAGAATAAATTATATGCATTAACTAGTACAAATTTGATGGAATTAATTTTAGGCATAAAGAGCTAAGGTTTGCTATTTCCTTGCGATACATTGGATCGGATGACCTGAAACATCACCTCCATGAGTCAGCTGATATACTTTTGGATGAATTGATTTACCCAGCTGGCTTGATATAAAAAAATTGAACCACCTATTTTTTAAACTTGACTGCCATTACATCCATGTGCACCTAGTGACCCATTAGAATTTATCCACATTACTTAGTAACGAAGACTAGCCAACTAGGTAGAGAGCACCATCAGGGAGGAGTTTAAAAGATTGATAGACACATCAGAGAATTGAAATACCAGAACTAGACCTTTCATTAAATGTCTTGGTTGATATTTTTGACACTGACAAGTGATTCTGCAGGATTAAACTGTATTCGCAGAAGTCCTAAGAAAAAAAAGCTTAATTTCGTTTCATTTTGCAACAACCTAAAAAAATAAAACAACAATTCAGCACAGTCATATGTCTTCCCACCCTCCTCTCTCTCAACCCTCCATTCCTCAAGACCCCACTCTTATCATCCTCCTCCTCTCCCTCAACCTCCACAAGTTTTCCAAATATCTCTTCACACTCTCAAACAGCCGCAGTTGCTCCCTCAGACAGACCCGTAATTATTGCCATCCACTCTTCGTTAATCTCACCTCCCTCATTCAGAATCACCTGCATCACAGACTGACGCTCTCTCTCGTTCGCCCCACATTCCATCAACAAATGCTCCAGTTTCTTTCTCATCCCCATAACACATGAAACATTTATCTTCCCTCCTCTCATTCCACATATACGTACATCCATTCACACCTAGCGCACCTGCCCTGATACGAAACAGAAGGTCCTCACCTCTACTACCATCATACATACATTCATAAGCATTGTTTTCATCTGTTACAGTCTTAGTCTTTGCCCTCCATTCCTTGCTTCCACACCTACAGCCCATAGTCTTTCACTTGTTTATTTATTTCTCTTTTCCACTCTTTTCCATCCCGCTCTATCCCAATCGCACCCCATACTGTCACCACCCATTTGTCCATAAGCCCAGCAGGTCTTTGGCGCACCCATGCTTCATGCATCCCACACTTACGCACCACTGTACAACATATACCGTGATATATGTGCCCATTTGCTCTCCTTCATGTTCCACATATACATCTTTTGTGCCCAGCATTCATCGTCCATTTGCTCCAGTCTCACGTTATACCTAAAAACTGCTCTCATTCTTCTTTCCTTAAAGGTACTCCAACATCCAACCCATGTCTCCTCTCAGGGCCTCTACCGCAGTCCACCTGGGGGCTACTAGGGCCAATCTCACCACTCTATGTACCAATTCAAATTTACCCAGCTCAGCATCACTATATGCATTCACATCCAATCCATACATAACACTAGGCAGTAGGCACTGGCCGCACTGCCACACTCTTCCACACTTCCCTCAGTACTTCATACTTAGTCCTCTCACATGCTTAATGAAAATTTTGATATAGCACCAACTCAAGTGTTTCTGTTGTGCAACCCAATCAATTTGAAGCATGACCTGACATGTAGCTGCAATGTGATAATTTCCTTTCACCAGAAAGGAAGAAATGTGTCTACAACATACCATTGATTCAGAAAATGGGGAAGCAAAGCCAATTGACTTTTCAATCTATTTATAAGTGATGTTGTCAATCAATCATACTTGAAACTAATGGATATGATTCTCCATGTCTTGCCAATGCAACAATAATATGGTAATGTCTCAAAGTTAGTGTAAATCATCAAATGTTAAAGGAAATGTGACTGGTAATCAATATTTTTGTTAACTTTGATTATTTTTGCTTACTTTATGTGATAAACTGGAATTTGAGGCTGCTACAAAATGCCATATTGGTTTTACTTCTGTGCTATTAAAAAATATGTGCATCTAAGATTTTTAATGCTTTTTCATTGACCCTATCATTTCAGGCTTTAGTTTCTATTACCAGTTAAAAATATAATTGACTAACTTCATAACTTGTGTCTTGTATATTAAGATCTACCTTATTTCAAAATAATGTGCTGAAATAATTGAAATGGTACACATGTATACCACTATGTCTTGGAGCTAAATACCTTGTGGCAGGATTGAAATTTTCCTACTTGCTTCTGAAATCTCACAGCTCCAATTCCAACGTGACAAATTTTTAATAGTACAATTGGAATCTCGCGGTTCCAACGTGACAAATTTTTAATGCAATAGGAATCTCGTGGCCCGATAGTGCACTTTTGTTAACAATTAGATAAGAGGTAATTCATCTGGCGGAAATCTTGCGGTACTGCCAAGTGCCATACTGGAAATGTCGGCGGGATAAATTATTATTGGCGGGAAGCCGGGAAAGCTCTAGTTGCAGCCCTAAAGGTAGATGTTTTACATTCTTGCCTTGTGGTACAGGCTGTACCACAAGGCAAGAAATGGAATTCCTTGTGGAATTCTAAAGGGATAATAAATTAACTAGTACACATAGCATATTGGAAAGCAGGACCTGAAAACTTGGAAAGGCCAGGAAATTTACACTTTCAGTCCATTATTTACATATCCTAGCCTTTTCCAGAATTTCAGCTGTGATTGGTTGATAGGATTGTGATTTTAGCCCCTTTCAGCTTTCCAGCTGTGGTTGGATAATGGAATTATAATGTTATCTGCTTTCTAGCTGTGATTGGTTGCTAGGGATGCTTTCAAGCTGTGATTGGTTGATGGGGATGCTTTCAAGCTGTGATTGGTTGATGGGGATGCTTTCAAGCTGTGATTGGTTGATGGGGATGCTTTCAAGCTGTGATTGGTTGTGCCCATAAGCCCCACCCCCAAGTATGGTACAGCAATCCCTTGATTAGCATGGTTTTGAATACCGCGGTTTTGATTAACGCGGGAAAAAAATTTGCGACCTACCCTTAATCTACTCGGTGCCAGTTTTGATTAGCGCGACTTTTTTTTCACAACGCATCATTTTCCCGCCTCTAGCCAGGGGTGTTACGTTTGCAACAAAAGTGTTACTTTTTGCTTATTACTTTATTAGATCTTATGTTGTTACTTTTGTTACGACTTTTGGAAAAATTCGCCGAATGTTGTTACTTTATTATGAATTTCAGCCAATAATTCTTTAAATAAGGTCCGTAGGCACTCGTGCTGACTACAGAGTCGGTTTAACCGCGCCTTGTCTCGTTCATAACTCGAATGATCGAGTTCGGCAACGTTCGCCGGTAAGTGCGCCATGCCGGTGCTCTAGCCCTTTAAGCCCTGGTGTGACGAATTCGTCACACAGAAAATAAAAGCTTCTACCGAGAGTAATTACATGTTTGGAGTCTAGCCGCGAGTGTGACGGTAGC